AGGCAATGGCAAACCACTTCTGGATCATCTGCCAAGAACGTATATGAACAGGTCCCAGTCCGAGAAAAGGATGGAAGGATCCTGTTCATATCGACCTGTCGTCAGACAGAACACTAAATAAATAAATAAATAACTTTATTAAGCACTACGCCGTAGAGGAACTCCTCCACTCATTTTTGACCTCAGCATATGTAGAAGAGTTTTCATGGGGAGGGGGTGTCCGGTCCACCTCACCCCTGGTACCTATTAGACAGAAGGCTGGGCGGGTCGCGGAATAACTGAGAAAAATCTCTTACCCCTACCGGGAATCGAACTTCTGTTGTCCAGCACGCAGCGACCCACTCCACTGTTTCAGAGATATCGCCTGGAGAAATCCACGAATAAATTGTCAGGACAATCGGCCTCTGGGCCGAGGTACGGACTCTTAGCACAGTACAGCATAGTCATTTAACCACCTAGAGCGAGCTGGCTTATTTATACCAGAATGCACTGCGGTTATCAGATCGACATGGCGCACTAAGAGAGAAATGGACAAAGATACCAGAAGTACATTCATCGGTCTTCCGTTCAATCAGGGCGATGTTTACGTCAAATACGCATTAATAACTATTACATAAAACCCCGTAAAGGCTCTTTGTTTCCTTACTGTACTATCGCATGTTTTAACTTCCGAGAACAGCTGCAATCTATACCAATTTTTAAACACGAAGAACTGTTACTTCCTCTCCAGCCACAAAGGTTCATACACGTCTAGGCCATCCTCAATAAAAATAAATGTTAAGTCACTTCAATTAAATAAAAAGCATCTATATGACTGAGGGGAAAACCGCAATACGGCTTCCCGTTGAAGATTACTCTCCATTATCCTGATGGCACTATTTTTTTATATCTCAAAAGTCAACAACGTTCTTGTCCCTTGTTTAAGATCTGAGAAAGTGAGAAACATACACAACTATCCCCGAGTTTTCGGGAGGAATACTTTACTGGCATGGGGAAAGAAAGAAAGAAAGAAAGAAAGAAAGAAAGAAAGAGAGAAAAATTGTCTCGAGATAAATATCAGTCAGTATAGTGACTAGGCGAAGGGAGGTGGACCGGAATTCGATGTCCAGCACGATTTTCCTCTTCACCAAAACGCCCAGACCGGTTTCCGGGCCCACCCAGCCTCCAGGGTTCTCTCCTCTGAATAATGTGGCCGAGGGGGTGAAGCTAACAACTCGCACTTTCAATTAACAGCCCTGTCACTCCCGCTTATGTCAATTAACCACGAGTCTACTGTATTCTTGCAATCTCTTACAGGTGGGAGAAAAAAAATATGTGGTTTAAAGTCAACTCAAATGAAATGGATATTCACCACTTTCAGAAAGACAGACTTTTGAAATGCCACAAAAGACTTCTGTCACCCGGCAACAACATGTGTAGTAATCACGATATCTAGATGCGATTCCTAGTAACATGACAAGAACAACAGAGTGACAGAACTTGGGTTAATTTATGAAATACAGTTTTAAAACACGACTGGTCTACTTCAAACAAATTTAAAACAATTTCAAAAATTCAACATGTATCTAGAACATGAGAAAAAAATTATTTGTATAAGAATGAGTTTCATATATTTTTATGTACAAAGTATCCAATAATAAATCAGATGATATAATACCCACAAGGCAATGTATAATTTATTCTTGTTTTTTTCTTATTCATCACCTTTCACACTCAGTTCACTGTCCATTCGCTACAGTATGTTGTGGTCCAATGTGGCCGTCTTCTTATTCTTCTATGGCTCTCTGGTCCGTATTCAGTCCATGGCCTCCTCAATTCTCCTCTTCCATTCAGTCCTGTTAGGTCCGTCTGTCCGAGGTTAAGGTTTCGAAACATCTTCCTTTTTACGGTGCAAGGTTGTTAGCCTTGCGACCAACCCCCAACCTGGAGGACCAGGGTACCTGTCTTAGTCTGACCTCTCCCCCTCGACCAATCTGGCTAGGGAGGCCCTACCAGTAGCTCTTGGGGTCACTGAGGTACTCGAGCCCCACCACCACGACAAGAAGCAGGTACCATTAAGTGGGGCCAATGTGGCCGTCATTGGATTCAATTATCTGTTATGTTTAAACTGTCAACATTTACTGATGAATGAGCGGAACATTCCTAAACCTGATTTCCTAGAATTATATAAAACTAATTATATGCATGGTTAAATTCAATGACCAATCATCTTCTACCTAAAAGATTTCAAATCCATAAAACTGTACAACGTTCCTGTAACAGGGGTTGGATTACGTTAATTAACTTCCACTACACAAATTCCTGACACTTTTCCTGACGACCACCATCAAATATGAGTAATTCATACACATTACATTTGAATCAGAGTTTTATATCACTTCAGGTGGAAACAGCCGGCTGCCCCTTGATATTTGCATGTATTGATAGACAACGGCAATAAATCTACAGTTGGGTTATGAATGTTGTTAACTCTACAACTGCACACAGGTTATAGATAGATAATAAATGAATACACCATAACTAGTGACAAACCCCACCACGACTTCTGTTTCACAAACCAAATCCTCAAGCACAGTCTTTCGTGAGAACTTTCTAACTGCTCAGCTGGCCAAAAAATTCCACACTTTTTGCAGAACTCAAAGGTCCACTACTGTATTCTGACTAATTTTGCCAGCTACCACAATCAAAAACAGATACCTTAAGATGTTAAAGCATTTTTAGTGCATCCACTGCAAGGTGCAATAGCCATATTATATCCACTAATATGAGAACAAAAAATGAGTTTGATTCATTAATTGCACGAAGGTATATAAGCGTAAGTGTAAACAGTTGGTGGGGGTGGATAGTCCTCTCCTGCTATCACATTAAGGTAATAAATAAATTTTACTTGGAATAAAATTAGTGTAGATAGGCCGTTAACATATTAAGATCAAGAATATTAGCAAGCAAAGATCAACCTGACTTAATTTTCAATTTGAACATACGTGTGACAGCAAGTTGGGTAGTGAACTTCCAAGATCATGTATGCGAATTCTCTAGCTCCACATTTAATAAATTAACATCATAGCCCACAATGTAATTAAAACACTTACCATAAGGAGGAATTTTTCTCTGACTGCAGGCTGGATTCTGCTGTTCCTTTTGATACTGGAATCACGGTGTCAGAATCAAGTCCTGTATTTTTTGTTTCTGCTGCTGTGTATTTTGATTTTACCTTTCCATTCCGACCTGTTCTCTCCGCGGCATCTGATTTATCACTGCACTGATTTTCGCGATGAGTCCCGCACCGTATACATCTAGTACGTTCCGTAGGATTTATTAGGGTGCACCGTTCACAGTGCCACTGCAGAACAGAAGCAATAGAGCCCATTCTCTTAGAATCATGGCTATTTTACCATGAAATTTCATTCGGTCTCCAAAGAATTCGAGCCAGCTGATCCACCATATTGATGCATTTTGTTGCCGAATTTGACATGTAAACAAATCTCTCATTGGTTGACGTTGACCAATCATAACGAGTTTACTGATCTGTCATCACACGCATAGAATAATCTTTGCAATACAGATTTATACTCGATTCCTTCCACTCTGCCATCTATCCAATTTAATATGTAACTAATACGAGTTGCAAATTAAATTTTACAACTCACATAAATTATGTCATCTACTAGCAACATATTCTGTTCTAAAATTACGAATAACGTGCATGAGTGTACAAACACTTACAATTACTGTATGCCAGTATCCTGGAGATTATTTTCTTCTCACATATTTTATCAGATATCGTGAGCATGCCGTGTTGCAGGAGACACCTATCGGCAACACTTCGAAATACATATTGTGTCAGCAGTGGGGGAGAAGGGAAGTGATGCAGACTGTTATGTTCTGAATTTAAGATATTCAATCATTTAAGTCATAAACTAGCTATGGCAACGTAGTTGTCGGGTGCTTTCGCGTGTGTGATGGGTTGAGTGACATATTTTCTACAAATTACAGTACTGTTTTCATAAATTTCATTGGATATGTCAAATACTAGCCTTGAGATTATTCACGAAGGCTGGCTGACGAAATCACCACCATCCAAGGCAATCTGGAGAGCGGTAAGAGTAGTTTCTACCATTTTCCGTATTTACAAAAGATAACTACGAACACAAGGTTCATGGGATACGAAACGAAGCCGTATGAAGTGATAAACATTCTTAACGAAATTTCTTAATGTTCGTCGAGTGTATATGGATTGTAAGGAAGCACAATTATGATTTTGCTTGTAAACTGCATGCTGGATTTAAGATTGACGCACGCGTGCTGTCAGTATAAATGTTTTGGTAAACTTCCTCATTAACATTGTGATGTAAATAATATTGCGCTGAATGTTATATAATCATTAAGGGTTGAAGGATGCAGTCACTCATTCCACAAAAATGTGTAAAAATTCGTGGTTGAAGTAAGTTATTTACTGAGAACTGCTGATGTAAACAACCAGATCTTTTTTTCATCTTATTACCGTTCAAGGTGATTATGATCAAACATGACATGTTTTGGATTTTCATTCAGATGGATACAGGTTTGTTATTGACATCTTTCAGCAAAATTTTAACGTAAGTCACATTGTTTTGGTATTGATTTTTATGTAGGTTTCATGTTTACACACAACAATAAGGTAATATCATTCTTTGTTAAAAAAATAATTATTTGTATAACTAGAAAGTTGTCATACATTAACCAACTTTTTTTATATATTTTTTTAACAAATTGAGCTATGTATTTGGGAAGTCCTGGTTCAAATATTGACCCAAAGACACTGTCCTGACTGGAGTTTTTCAAGTTTATTCTCAGTACCTGTGAATGAACACTGGGATAATGACTGTTTCCTTCCTCATTCTTAACAATATATTGTTCCCTATATAATCTGAGCATCATTGAGTAAACCAGAAATTAATAAAGAAGTCTAGCACTAGCATGAATGAAATGTGAAATCTGATTTATTTAAACAAGTGTTTTTATGCTTTTACCATTGCAAATATTGTTCTAGAAGTAATTACTAAAATAATCCTGATCAACTAGACACTTAAAAACATTTATTAAGCAATATGTCAGTGTTCCATAAACTTTTCTCACCCACAGTACACCATAATTTGACAAAGACATAGTAGATGGCACACCACATATCTGAAACCCTTTGGCGGCACATCATTGTGCTACATCACACCATCACGGAAAACTGCAATAAATGAACTAAAGACTTGAAGTCTGTAATAAGTCAAGGGAAGTGCCATTCATCGGTTACCATTGATGGAATTCGTTCTTCAAGCGTATTCTGACGTGCATGATACTTCGGCTTTCTGTGCGTGTTGGCGTTAGCACAGAAATGCAATACTGACAGATGTGGATATTTGATTTTGTAAATTATTAATCTGAAATGTGCTCACAAAAGCTGATATTTCTCTGGTGACTCGTTTGACACATTCATATCTGTGAGTGCCTTTTTGAAAATATTTCTCGGCCCGTAATTAGAATATATCTGTTATGAACGTAATATGAGAATGTGAAATAGAATTTCATCGTTCTAATGCATGAAGAAATTAGCAGTTTCACGTAACATTCTTTCCTGATGTAGTTTGATTAACCTTAATATTACTCTGAACGTACCACATTTCAGTGAAATTTCGAAGTGAATAATTGATAAAAATTGCACAAAACAATTTAGTGTTGAGGAATCTGACTTCCTTGAAAATACTTTTTATCTTATTTTCCTTCCTATGAGATAAAGACATTTCGCTTAAAGGGCAGTGACTTCTGCTAAAACTTGGAGATTAAGTTAGGATACAAATTGATTTTCTTAATTTTAAGGTTCAACATCACTAATACCAAACCCTGCAATTTGACATTACTGAGTTCGCATCCTTACAAGTTGCATTTCAGTCTCCCTAAGTGTCTCCTTTGTTAAGGCATTTTTTTGACAAAATTTCTTGTTCACTTCATGTTTCTTCCACGTGGGCTATAAGAATTACAGAGTTTCTTGTTATGTAATGCCCCAAGTTCCCACATAGTTCATGTTTCAAGTGTCTGAATATTTTATCTGTGAGTTTTCTTTAGTTTGATTAGCCGTTATCTGGGACGTAGGCAGTCTGGTAGGTATTCACGGACATTTCAGAGGAACTTAATGTCTACGTGAGAGTGTAATATCCCAGATAACAGCCATTTTCTTCCTTCAGTGCATCATGAAGCTGGGTTAAATTATTGTTTTGTTTGCAGATGGAGATTCTACCGTAAACTAGATCACCGATGATGCGTTATAGGTATAAAGTAAGAATGGGAGGAAGATAAAAGATTTATTTTGAAAGTGAACAAAATTTTACACTTTAATTTTGTGTTAGTTAAAATTTTTCTTTGACTGCAAATGAGTCCTAAGAAATTCAAGGCTTTGGGGGATATTTTCACTTGTACGTCAGTAGCTCGAGAATTGTGCTTAATCTGAAACAGGGTTAAGACAGTTTATTGACGCATTATAATTAAAATTTCAGATCAAATTTTAGCCATGTTAATATGCATTCATGTTACAAATATTAAAGTGTAAGCCTACACACACACACAGTCCATACACCGCTGTTGGTTAAAATTTATTCTATTGTTTTTAATCCAGTTAATAGTCCCACATGGTCCTCCGTGCATGTCTGCCTGTTCACGGCTTTCTAAGATCGCAGACTGAAATAAGATCTGAAAAATGTTATACATATAAATTATTAGTTAATATCCAGAAACATTGAAATACTTTATATAAGTGATGTGGCTTTAAATCATTGGACATTTAAGTTACACATTTCACATCTAAATGTCAAGAATAAATGGCGGAGAACAAAAATGTTTATTTTCATTGTGTTTCAGATAAAGTAAATAATTTAATGACACAAATGGAAGAACAACAAAGTTAAATTCTACTCGTCTGTTTAGAAAATGCAAAAAAAAAAAAAAAACATCACCGAAGTATAAAATTATCTGCAGGGGTGCCTCAGCAACTTAATCATAAGAAATTCATCTTCTAGACAGACAGACAACCACGAAGAACAAAACCATTGATTGGAGAGTTCATCGTCAAAATAACAAAAATAAAAATGTTGAATTTAATAAAGTATCTTCCCAACCTTGATAGACAAATGAAAATAAAGACTTTGACCTTCTCGATTGTAACACCACGTGGAATTGTAGACCGACACCAACATTCTGGAGGAACATACTGCCTCCATTTTCAGGATTGTATGTAAATAGGCACCACAAGCTTAATAAAGGTCATTCGGATTTCTTGGTTTGGGGTCATTTGCAGGAGTTGAAGCTAGCCGAAGGCATTTGTGACTTCCAAACCTGTGTACATGCTATCAGCTGTTAATGACAAAAACTAAATATCACGTGTCAGATTTATCTGTAGAAAACACGTGTCGAGGTATTTCAAACTTCTGCTACCAACTGTGATATCCCGTAATGTTTGACTTCGGTTTTTCGGGATACACTCACCTCGAAGATTGCAACTGTTTGCCGAAACACGGAAAATAATTGTACTAGGTATATTCACGAAAACCTGTAGTTTGATTTTTTAGCTATAAGTTTATTGATAATATACCTGGAACATTCTGTGTGTGTTACCACGGACACTGATATGGATGGATCGTAGATGTTAGAATCAGTCCAAAGTCTGCACGGACTGAATTCGACGCCTTGGCGTTGTTAGGGGGCGGGTAACAGTTCCATCCTCAGATTCACCATACTTCCGATGACCTTGACTGGTAAAGATAACACGAAGATTAATTTATTCTCTTGCTGTAGGTCGCACTATTTCTTGGCTTTTTACTCAATGAAAGCATTACTGTACAAAAAGTGGTTCCATTTTACGCGACTTGTAACATTACCATTTTACGTCACGTCGATTACTTACCCTGGTATCAGAACAGGGTATTTGGGCCTTGGAGCGATGAATTCACAAGGACATGGATAAATCTGCAGATAAGGTACATCTTAATTGTCCTCTCCACTTATCTTATTAGAATAATCAAATCAAGGTTTATTGTGTCGGCGGGGTATGTACCAATCGGAGACATGACAAATGCCTACGAAATTTTGATTTGGAAGTCTGAAGGGAAGAGACTACTGGGGGGAGGGGGGGGTTGCTGCTAACTGGTCGACTATCAGCTGATTAAGAACAACTGTTTCACTGAGCGAGTTCATCTCGAAAAATCGTCCCTGTCATCGCGTCTTTGAGACGTATGGAGGGAATTAAGACAGAGCTACACTCATTCTTAAATGGGGCACATCACTGCGAAGGGAGGTACAGCTTTTGGTGTATGAGTGTACTGTTACCAGGGAGCAGAGTGGTATCTGTCAGTGAGTCATCATGATACAGTGGGCTGATGAATCGTACTTGTTTTTTTTTTTCATGATGCTAGAAACATGCGTGTTCAGCAAAGACTGCACATGTAACAGGCGCCTCTGGACTTAGAAAAAAAAATGGCGTCTCATATTTGACGGGTAAGAAGTTGCAAGGCTGCTTCTGCATCTCCAAATTATTCACTTATGTTAACGATCCCGGTTGATTTTGAAATTCGTTCTTGTGATGCACTGTTTTATACGTCACGTTGACACCGAGTCTTAGATTCAATAAATAGGCCAGAGCTTCTAAAGGTTAAACTCAAAATACAAGTCGAATTTCGCAATGACGTTTATATTTTGTCATATTTTCTTTTCTTTTTTTTGTAAATTGATGCAATTGTGGAAAACCCGGGAAGAAAATTTCACCAAATTCTGTCGAGAAGTTTCGAAGACGAAGGAGGAGGCTGCTGGATAGACGATGATGTTGAAGAGCCACGTACTTGGATCAGTGAAAGGTCATGGACTTGCTTGATGGGTTGAAACTTTCTCCCAGACAGTAGACAGGGAATCCACATATTTTCGTGATGTTTAATTTGAAGCCTTTCCAGTTGCCTGACTCTTAAACTGGTTGTATAAAAATGACAGCTGTTCGATTATAGTCCGCATTTCCGAACAGAAATGCTCCCAAAGCAGAACGTAAATAGATCTTAGCGTCGGAATAAAAGAAGTCCACCCACTAATAAAGATAATAATGAAGATAGCTCAGGGTCGTGTCCATTGGGACTGTGGTTAATGCTACCACTGTAAAGTAATGTTTGAGGTAATTAGGCTCAAGTGTATGAACAAAAACTAGGACATATCACTTCCCTTTATCGGCGAAACTATACCAGTTGGCCTTTAAACTCAATTTTAATATTATCCCCAATTTTTTTTCTAGACCTTTATAGTGGTTTCATACATTCGTGTTTTTCGACAACAAATTTGCATGCAATTTTGATATCCCACCGTTCTTAACCTCAATTTGATGACTAGTAATATTTGGTGAGGAGTAAGAATCTAACGCCTAAATAGTACCAGACTAGACAGATATGCTCTGGTGTTAGAAATTGGAGATTCAGTACCTCTAACACTAACTATTTTTCAATCTACGTACATTATTTTCGCTAAAACGCAGGACTAGATTTCGTCTGAGGGCCGAATGTCCGCTTTGTAAGCAACGAACGCGGAGGAATACAGAAAGTTCTTATGTTTACACTAACTGCTGTACAATGCTTGCTTTATACTATCAAAACAAGTAATGCTTTTCTTACTTTTATGATAGTACGGTGTTCTAAAACGAGGTAGAAATATTGGGCGACTATTCTGGGAGTCAGAATTGTTTACATAGAAATTAATTTCATATTTACGAATTTTTTTAAATTACGAGTAGTTTTCATCCAACGAATTACGTTCGGAAATCGAGGGTTGGGTGTTTTCTACCAGCAACACAATTCACTGTTCTGCGACTAACCTATAAAACTTGCTCAATGCAGGAGGCAGACATATTTTTGTCTTCGTCGTCCTGTTTTGATGGTTGTCGCGGTTTGAGCTAGAGACGGCGTGGAAGTCAGAAATAGGAGCTGAGTTTCCGTCCTCCTTCATTCCTGTCTATTTTTAAGTAAGATTTAAATAATGTTTGTGCTGTCAGACCTCCCCTATGAAGAATTAACGTGTTTTTTTAACGAATTTGTTTATACGAGCTTAAAAAATCGTCATTTTGTCATATACAACATCGAATCGTATTGATTTATGTGTGTATCAGATTACATCCCTAGCAATAGTGATGTTAAGAAGTGCCTCTCTTCTACGTACATGGCCATTTTAACGTTAAATATGCTGAAACCTTTTTGTGCTGAGTATAAATAATACACTTTATCAGGTTCATCCACGTTCGCGTACATTTTGCTTACCTAATTTCACAGATCCCTTGGTTTAGGTTAGAATCTCTTAAATGATCATAAATATAATTTTAAAAAAACATATATTTAAAATAATGTTGTGTGGAATTTAAATTACTCCTGTATCTTTGCGTATTTAAATTGCTAACTTACGTGCGAGTACTCTGAGGTCCAACGAGATGAATGACTGATCTAGTCAGTGAATAGAATGAATCTAGAGTGAATGCCATCGTTACTACTGACATCTGGCGGAAATGATTTTATAAAAAGTTCCAATATTGGATTGTAGGTGGCGCGGTACTTGAGCGATATGCCATATTCATTTGTTTTGAAGACGTTACCTTCCCATTTTTCAAATATGATCCTTTTTTATTGGGTGCGATACCAGCTGCTTTAACAATAATTAATTCTGGATTTTTCCCTGGGAGCGTATTTATGGGTTTTGTATGATTAGAATAACGGAAACTCGAGTGAATCATCCCAATCACTACGCGAACGTCGCATAGCGATTATTTAATTAAACATCAAGATCCAGTTAATATTTGTAATGGAAATGGATCGCGTTATCTTTGAGATAATATGAACGTGTTAACTGTGTTATCAGCATTCATTTACAGAGTCTCATTAGTGATGACTCATTCATCTGTCAGTTTAGAAAATGCTTCGTAAATCCGCGTAATTAAAACGTACTCATATATTTTGTATGTAAATACAAACAGGTTGTTAACAAAACATCGTCTTAATGAAATTCACTACCTAAGTCCACTGTTCACAGATTCGGAATGGGGTTCTCAAAATAATGGACCCAGTGCTGATGTGTGAAAACAATGAACAAACTTTCTGGAAGAGGAGTGATTTATATGGAAAAAAAATCATTTTAAAACACAGTCCATAATTCTAAAATGCAACGTAACATTCTGCTTAAAATACAGGTTAAAAAAGCCGTTACCAATTTTAAAAGTGGCTTTCAGATAATTTCGATATTTTCTAATCTCGTCATTTGACACAAATATAAAAAAAATATATGTTGTAGCTAAGTGAAATTATTTGAAAATATACTGTTTAAAAACGTAAGAAACGAGTTTTGAAGAAAAAAAATTATTTTGTAATTCAACGCTGTTCTTGGAGTTGGGTCCAGTGCAATACAACCAAATTGTTTAGTTGTGATCGTAACAAATATAAGTAGGGTGAGATGTTATTTTATCACGAAAAACGTCTTTTCTTAAAAATATCAACGAGATTGTTAAAATATTACACTGTTCACAGATTCGGAATGGGGTTCTCAAAATAATGGACCCAGTGCTGATGTGTGAAAACAATGAACAAACTTTCTGGAAGAGGAGTGATTTATATGGAAAAAAAATCATTTTAAAACACAGTCCATAATTCTAAAATGCAACGTAACATTCTGCTTAAAATACAGGTTAAAAAAGCCGTTACCAATTTTAAAAGTGGCTTTCAGATAATTTCGATATTTTCTAATCTCGTCATTTGACACAAATATAAAAAAAATATATGTTGTAGCTAAGTGAAATTATTTGAAAATATACTGTTTAAAAACGTAAGAAACGAGTTTTGAAGAAAAAAAATTATTTTGTAATTCAACGCTGTTCTTGGAGTTGGGTCCAGTGCAATACAACCAAATTGTTTAGTTGTGATCGTAACAAATATAAGTAGGGTGAGATGTTATTTTATCACGAAAAACGTCTTTTCTTAAAAATATCAACGAGATTGTTAAAATATTAAAAACTATCAGACATAACCTCAAAGTAACACCACTTTTTTTTTCATACACAAAAAAATAATCTGACTGGAAATAACAAAATTTACCTCATGGCAGTTCAGCCTCAGAAATGGATTCCTTCGGATTTGCAAAGACAGAGGTAAGATAAAACTGTGACTGGATCCGTCTGCCACAGACAAAACCTCATTGGTGCAATATCTGTTCGCAGCGGTGGCGAAGGAGGTGGTTTGTGCTGCGCCATTCTGGCGAGCTACCTGACCAATACTTTCTCGAGTACTACACGGACCATAACTGCAGAAAACTGAAAGGAAAAATTGACTTGGATCAGTGTGAACAGGTAAGATTATTTTTTGACATAAAATAAATCATCCCTTGTGTGATATAATAATTTGACGCTGAGTTACTTTATGTATTAATAATTTTTATTTAAATGTGACACATTACTATTTTGTTTTTTATTAAACTGTGACAATGAAAAAATTTATGTAATTTCATATTAGGGATGACATAATTGCCCGTTACTCTTACGTGTCTGGTAACGCAAGCGCTTATTCCGACATTCTTCAGGTTGACGCTGGTCTGAGATTTGAGAATCGCAAGCAGAAGTACCAGCATATGTTTGATGTGAAGACACCAAAGCGAGTGTACTACTTGGCGGCCGAGTCTGAGGAGGACATGAACAAATGGGTTGAATACGTTTGTCACGTATGCGGACTCATGGCCTACAAAGACGAAGACGGTATGCAAGTTGATAATCCAGAAGCATTTTTATTTCATTTTTGTGCATTTGTATATGTGTATTGTCTTAGCATAAGAGAAAGTACATATTTCTCATTATATAAAATATCATGTTTTTTACGGAAACTGAATATAATGTCAGGTAATCAGTTATATTGATACAGCATCTGTGACACTGTCTCTTCCACCACCGTCAGGGATTTTGTACGTTAAGCAACAAGTCATATCAAACCCTGATGATGGAAGCAGAGTCTCGTAAACGTTGGATTTCTGTTTTTGTATCAATCTGACTGATTATTCTCATATTACCGTAGAAATGCACTTTTTTCCTCCGAGGTGCTATAGCAGGGACAGATTTGATCTGGTGATAAAGAACCTGAGTAATGCTTGAATGACTTCAATTGCAGACTATGGCTATGCGCCTCCTGCCGAGGATGAGGAGACTCCTACAACAACGGAGTCACTAACAAGCGAGCAACAAGACCCAATGTTGGGTCTGGTGACAGAATCTCCACCTGTTTCCCCCACCAGCACAATTTCAGGCCCATACATCCCTATTAGCGAGTGCATTTCTGGAAAGTCCCTCTCAAGTCCAAATGGCTTAGAAGATTTTAATAATATACTTCGACAAGGAGGATATGGTATTACAGCAACTACACAATATGGCCTGACAAATAACAGAGAAGGACAGTCCACGTGTCAAAAACATGCTCTGTATTCAGAGAACAAAATTCAAGATTCAACAAAGTTAATATGTGTAGGGGAGACGGGTGCTTCGTTTCAAGTCAAAACGCCAATTCTGCCAATTAAAAGATCACCCAGACCATATGATGGTACTTCAAGTGCAGATAATGCAGAGTTTTATGATTCCCCTCGTAAGCTTCATCCTCCAAACCTGGAATTGCGGCAAATTAGTGAAACCCCCCCTTTACACAGTCCTACAACAGATGGCGAGAGTGTATTTACAGATGAAGAATGGTCTGTGCCATCACATCACCCACCTTGCGTCAACTGGGAGACGTTTCCAGATGGGGACAGTGTACGCCAGACGAGACCTTCGGATAGTTCGGCAGAAGTAGATGTAGGTGGCGGAGGAGATGTTGGTTCTTGGAGTGTTGTGAAACGTTTTGGCAAGCTTAGAGTAGTTGATAATGTGAGCAGCATTCCACACGACGGCTCCATCGGGGTGCATGGCAGACAGTTGAGCCTTCCAATAAATCTGCAGCATCAACCAGTTGCCCCTCCTCGTCCACCTAAACCCTTCCACCTGCTTCTAGAAGCTCCAAGCCACAGCTATCTCAACCTGGAAAATGTATCCCCACAACCAAGACATAACAGAAATGTGAGGAAACCAAGTGTTGCTTCTCTGTCGTCAGACACGTCAAAAAGGACAGGAATTCCGGGATCACCTAATGACTGTGTGAGTGCTTCAGATGGTAATGAAGAGCCACCATCTCCTCTGTCCCCATCTCAGTGCAGTGAAACTGTGGGCGTGAATGACGAGATGTACGATTTTCCAAGGTCACACCAGTATGCCAACAATCCTTCAAGTCCGTCAGCCGGGGACGGTGCAGAAGGTAAAATTCACACATCGGTCCGTCACTGTTACACCAACGCCGCGCCAAGCAAGGTCAATGGCGAAGTGTTCCGTTACGACTTCCATCACAGTGACTCCCCGCCGTCCGCTTCCCAGGAGGGCGCCACTACTCTTGAAGAACCGACATCACCCCACTCTGATGGCTCCAGCTCTCTGGCTTCTTCATCTACTGCTGCTGTCTACTCCAATTTACCGAGTCCCCTCACGGCCCAAGGCGGATCAGATGTCGGACATAGTGGTATTCCTACTCCGCCAGCTGTAAATCGTGGGCTTAAACCAGGCCGTAAACTATCTGACTCAACGTCTGTGGTCTCAAATGAGCCGTCTCCTGTGAGCCCGGCTACACATTTGATATCAGGTCATTTTCCACCGAGCGTAGATCGAAAACTGAAACCACAGCTTAAGCAGCCTGAACAAGGTATGTTTATATCTCGTATGTTTTTTACGCCGTCTCCTTTACAGGACGTTGGCGACATATTACGGACAGGAACCTTTACGCCGTCTCCCGGACTGGGACCTGTTCATATGTTTTTTAGGCAGGTGATAAAGAAGTGGTTTGCCGTTGCCTTCTTCTGTGTGTGAATGGAGTAATTGTTGGGATGCCACGGAGAAACTGGGGAAGCCCCGGAGGAAAACTCCATGTTGCCTAGACCACGGCCTTGCCCAACACAAGTTATAAATTCGGGCAACGCTTGGACACCAGGATTACAAGGCCAGCGTTATAACCTTGCGTGAAATACTTGTTAAATACATTTCACATAAACAAATTGGGTAACGACACTAAAAGAGGTGACTACAATATTGAAGCAATGTCATAAGGAAACTGTAAGATTTAAATGGCTCAGGAGAGGGTCCAGTGATGGTCATTTGTTATCATAATTTTTTTTTCTAGTTATATAAGTATGCCATTGCTTTGACATGTTATGTAGAACTCCTACCCCTGGCTGCTCCGCCAGGTGGCCGGTCAGGTTCAGAAACCTGTCGCAGCTTAAGAAAACCCAGAGCAGCCCCGAGTCCGACACCACCCTCGTCGACGCCGACAGCATTACGCAATGGGCAGCGGCAGCGCTCTGAACACAACTCTAGTTCAGATGATGATCACAGGAAGTCACCAGATGGCGAGCCTGTAAGAGTCACATTTTTATTGATTTTACCGATAATGTACTAGGTATTTTGAAAGCGAAAATGAAGTTACTGTTTCAATGAAGCCCTTACTGAAATACTTAAAAGAATATTAATGCATTAATTGATGACTCACTGAACCTCAGAATTACTGTTTTGTTAATTATAAGATTCGTGTATCGTGTCCCCTGAGGAAAGGAGGTTGGTCGCTTATGTGTGTCTAACCTCACATTTCTGCATTGAATTTACTGGATTTTACAAGTGCGCAGTATTTTTAAATTCACAAATTTAGCCAAACACATCAAGTTTCATGCACATAAACTGTAGTATGTAGTTAATGTGTTTTGCGCCCTCAGCAAAGATAAAGTGTACGGCCCCTTCTTTTGACGGAGAAGACCATTACCAGCATCGTGTATCTGGACATGCTCCAACAGTTCCTCATTCCTCAACTTGACGAAGATGACCAAGAAGGCTGCGTTCACTTCCAGCAAGACGGTGCACCCCCTCATTACCTCGGAGAAGCGCACGAGTACCTCAATGACCGTTTCCCAGGTCGGTGGATCGGTCGGGCCGCACCAATAGCACGGCCACCTCCTTCCCCGGATCTAACACCTGTAGATTTTTTATTGTTGGGATTTGTTAAAGATCGAGCGTACGTGCCACCCTTACCTGCAGATGTGGCCGAAGTGACACCGGAGATGCTACACCGCGCGTGGCAAGATATTGACTACAGATGGGACGTCTGCCACATAACAGATGGAAGTCACATTGAACCATAAAAATCCGATGGACATAAAACTTTAAGTGTTTGACTACATTTCTGTGTTGTGAAATTATATGTTTCTCCTATCAGTTCGCCAATATCTCGCCCTCGAGTTGTAAAGCTACTTTTGAAACATGTTGTACTTGCTAATTAATATAAATATGCCATAAGAAGTTGTATAGGTTGACCTGTTTAATACGTATCAGCCAGTTTACTTAAGGGGCTCACTGAATTCTTACCTTTATCGTTTTAAGATTCTGGCGAACGCAGCAGAGGTACCAAATTTTCTGATGTGTTTGTGTCTATTACAGATATATTATTTCCAACAAGACACCAATAAATTTATACCAGCAACAAGGTTTCAGGAATTGCAATACCTTGACTTGGATCTTGAATGGGACGCTGCAAGTGGTACGTCATCAGCGACGCAGATCCCAAAGTCGCCCGAGCGAGCACAACAGCCGACGAGCACCGTGTACAAAACCGTGGACTTCGTAAAGACAGAAGCTTTTAACAGGACGAGACAAGAGGTCGAAGAAGTTCGGAAACAGTGCACAGCCGCTGAACTATGACATCGCAGTACTTTTAGTTTTCTCACGTAATAAGCTGTTGGTCTCCAATCTCTTCTTGCAGTAGAAGACTGCAGTACTGTTAATGAAATGCGAATCAACTGGTACTTTGATGTTTCTTTTAGTAAGATACTAATTAATTATCATATTTAGATTTTGTTACTCGTTGCGGATTGCGGTCTTCTGGGTTGGAGAATGTATCACCTCCATCCACCCCAAAGATGGAGGTTACATTTTTCTCTGAAATATTAATAATCACTTACAGGACTACATGACATCACAAACTCGGGTCACAATCCGTGTTAAACGCCGTCAAAGCTTACTTATCGTTTCACCGTGTAATTAATCACTGAAATGTAATTTGTAATATGAACAATTTACAATGCTTATATGTATTTATTGCAACACGTAAGAAATGGGCGTATGGGCCATGACATCTAAATACATTCATCCCGATCGGCCATACACGGTATCAGTACGAGCGCGATCACCGAGGAGGAAAAGATTTAGAATTCTTTGCACAGTCCAGAATACAAGAGCTTTAGAATCCAGGGAATATATCCGATTCGTTGCGAGCGTGGCAAGCCAGTCATACCATCGAGTCCCTACGTCAAAGAACTGACGTCTGTATCGGTGTTTCTGAAACGTCCACGGGACCGACTCGCTGACAGAACTCCAAAACTACTGTCATAACGTTTGATGTGTGCTGTATTTTAATTTGCTGACAGCGGTCAAAGAAAAAAGATTCAAATGGTTGACGCAGTCTTACGAGAAATTAATCAGAAGGTAGAATAACTTCACAGTATTCTGAAATTGTGTAAAATCTTAGAAAATCTTCAACAAAACCTTAATTTTCTGACAATACAGGTCACGTAATTTTGTTAGGATAATGAAATCTGCAAGGGTACGATGGGCTGGTCATACGATTGGGATCGGATAAAGAACGTGAAATTTTGGTGGAGAAACCTCTTGAAATACAGCCACTTGGAATATGAAGAAGGAAGGATGGAACTGGCTCAAGATGATTTTCAGTGACGGACATCGCTGTTTGTAGTTTCTGTCAAAAAAAAAAATCTTAGGTACTTCAAGGGATGCGTTTTTAATCTACACGAGGACGTCATCACTTCTGCTGTTACGTGAGCTTTGTTGGAAATGTTTTTGAAACTATTTTAATTTACCCAGTGCCATTCAGTGCCATTGATTGCTATGTGGATGTTTAACATTTATGAATTTTACTGGTATTTGTTACTTGTTTATTATAACTCGTAGCAGTAGGTTCGTGACATGCAATTTTATGTACAATTATTATACATTTTGTACAGGATTCTTTATTATTATTATTATTATAATATTGCTGTTGCCTGTTGTAATCAGGCACGTAGGTAATGTTTATGATTTCAAAAATGCACATATCTTCCACGTTCATCTACCTTTATATATGCACCATTTTTGCTGGCGTAGCTCAGTCGGTATAGTGACTAGCTACGGACTGGGCGATAGAGTTTCGATCCCCCCATCTGGTGCCGAGGTCAAGAAAGAGAGGAGCTATACCTCCTGTCCCCCAAGTGCGTACATGGCTGTATAGTGGGACAGCAAAGAAAAAAAAAGAAGAAGAAGAGAGAGCACCATTATTAAAAGACGTTCTGATTTCCCATCAGTGTAACTACCCCATTTCTTATTCCTTGCAACAAACTTTAATTTAAATTAGGTACTTGCTAGGCGATGGTCTTCTGAGAATGTAGGGAGTGATGGTAAAACTCCAGGCATATTTATCTTGACACTAGATGGACATGGAGCTTTGTCTGCGGTGGAGGAATCTCCACTGAATTGGATGGTTGGTGGCTTCGGACCCTGTCTGAATGTGGTGATGAACATAAAAGTTTGCCCCTGCTGTGAATCAAACCTTGGTCATGATGGCTGTGGAGACTTCCGAGACCAACACTAGTAGGGTCTGAAATTTTTTATAAATTCTGCAGGAAACATGTCGTACACCTGGTGATTATGCAGAACTTTGAGGTTATGTATAACGAATTTTATATAATGCAAACTGTACCAGTAGAAATAATGGATCATTAATATTGTATAATTATTGCTGTACCGTTCGGTCAAATTAATATAGACTGAAGCATCTGGAGGAAAGCAGAAGTCATAAATTCTTCCCAAAGATCTTTTGTTGAATGTATATGGTACTTTGAAGAATGGAGCAATTGCAAAAAAAAAAAAATTGACAAGCTAATAGTTTCTCAGAAGACAGCAATCTTCAGACTCACTGCTGTGAAAACCTCAAATCCTACATAATAGTTTCTCAACTAATAAAAGAAATTACCTGTCCTTTATGGAACCCAAACGTTCATTTCTGTGTTCACAAGAGCACGCCAATAGTCCATATTCAGAACGAGATGAATCCAATCCACAGCCGATTTCCATAAGGTCCATTGTAATATCCTCCTCCTATCTTCCACGTATTTCTCATCTTCCCATTGTGTGCTACATTCCCTTTCCATCTCATTGATTTTATAATTCTTATATAATTTGTAAATACAAATTATGAAACTCACCATTCTGCAGTATTCCCCAGTCTCTTTACCAATATTCCTGTAGCTAAATTATAAAGTACAGGTAGCCCTCCATTTGCGCCGATTCAGAATAACGCCGATTTTGAAACCAGAAAGTGAAAAAAAATATATTTTACTATTATTTATAACGTTTTACAATGTTTCTCGTACTGCTTTTTATAATAAATCATAATTCTTACATCGCTGATTTTGAATAAAAATTATAAATACAGTCATCTTTGCAATTACGTATGTTTCGTTAACTCGAATTTGCTCCAATGAGATCGATGAATCGATAAAAGCAGTTTGTGAAATGCAAACTTTTGCATATGCGAATTTGCTCTTGTGCTACAGCGAAGTGTAGTGTTATGGCATCCATGAGGCCTTAATTGTGAAATTTTGGAAGAAAGAAGAAATCACGACAGTCCACACTACATGTCTTCTTTAAAAAACACGACGATCCTCAACCAGGGACTTCGTCAGAGAACTAACGCCGCTTCATCACGCCATCGCCGGTAAGTGTATAAAATATATTTTTTTAAATTTCCTTTATTTTATTTACGTTATTTCAGAGCTTTAAATGTAATGCCATTATATTACTCGTCAATGTTTGGGTGCTAGGAACGCATGTCATTGATTTACATTATAAAATCGTTCCAATTTACGCCGGTTCGTCCAGGAACACATCCCCGGCGTAAATCGAGAACTACCTGTACCAACATTATAAGATGGCAGTCATGTACGATGTTTGCTTTTAGATACCACACCCCACAGACATCTCCAAAATCGTCCTCTTCTCTTTATTATTATTTAATTGATTCTTCTTATTTTGCTGACTCATGACAAACAAGGGATGCTGAACACTGTATTACACTGTGACTAAACTGGCAGTCACTCATAGCAGGTAAAGGGAAGGGTATAACAAAAAACAAGTCTTTTGGTAATTCCAAAATGTTCATGTGAATTCTTGATTGTAACATTAAAAGGGTTGTAGTGGAGGTAATGAAGAGGATCCTGATGGGCTGGACATGTAGCACATATGGGGGAGGGACAGGCAAGGGATGCATTCAGAATTTTGGTGGGGAATCCTTCTGGAAAATAGCCACTGGGCAGACCAAGAAGGAGATGGGAGGATAATATCAAGATGGATCTTAGGGAAGTGGGCTGTGAGGATGGAAAATGGATGGAGTTGGCGGAGGATTGTGTCCAGTGGTGGGCTTTGGTGTTGTCGGTGTTGGACCCACGGTTTCTGCTACCAGGGAGTTAATGGAAGTAATGAATGGTCTCTCACGCGATTAGCTTTCATCGAAAGGATGTAAGAGGTTCAACTCCCTGAAATAAATGGTTGTTGGCTGGACTTTGACCACAGGGGTTAATGGATTTCATGTAATCAGTAACACAGTTGATAAAATGTTAATGATAAATGTGGTTATGGAAAGTCAGTTGCAGAGGATGGCAAAGGCAGGGTCTGAAGTGGTACAAGTACCACTGGTTGGGCAAAAGTGCCCTAATACTCTTGCGTACTGAAGGAAAAAGTACCTTACATGTAACTTTTGCTTCAGAAGTACAATGTCTATAATTCAGATTCATTACAAACATACAATCATGATCTTACGTATGCATTCAGAATAAATAGTTCATAACAACATTGAATATATGTATGAAATAGTATTAAGACGTTTCGATAATAATTTTTTTTGTATGGAAATTGAACAGTGAATAAATAACAGCTACAATGTGAAAAATCCTCAGTCAAAGAGAAAGACAGGTACCAGCACTTCCACGCCGACAGCTCCGTTAATAAATACAATTCTGACGAAGGCAATCCACTTTCATGCTATTGATTTGGTTTTTCTTGCAAACTATACAACACACACATACTTATTGCTGATTCAGTATTATTTGATAGAAGTTACATGTCAGCGAGCTCCAACATTACGAGCAGACTCGTAAATTCAAAGATTCATACACGAGAGGAAAATAATGTCATATTGAACCAGATGATTGTTATTTTACCACGTTTTCCAATTTATAATAAAGTATATCCACAGTAATAATTTAGACGATTTCAAAGAATATGAACGTAACATATGCGTAAGATACAAAAATAAGAGTTAGTACCACGTATAGAAAATGTAATTAACAATCTTAGGTTGTAACTAAAATATGCTACTATGGTAATTTAATTGTACAAAACCATACACCAACAACTCTAAATATGTCCATATCATTGATCGCTATATTGCTACCGAGAAGAAGAGATGCTTTATATCACACTTGACCCATATTGTGACCTCTTATAAGATAACGGGAAGGAAACCAACCAATAAGAAAGTCACGTCAGGTAAGTTGGTTTCTCGTGCTTGACAGATGACGAGATTTGATCCTGGGGCGAGAAATCCTGTCTGGAATTTTTATATATTCCTTCAATCTCTCCAGGCAAATGAAAATGCAGTATTTTACATATACGCCATCTCTCCTAACACTTTTAATTCCCATTCCGTTGAGATTGTGGAGAACTGCAAAGGATACATTTCTGGCCACAGGAATTTTTGTGAGAGATTATCATGTAACTAAGAACAAAAATGGCAATTGAATTTTATGATACTAAAAGAAAAATACAATCAACCATGAGATTATTGGAAAAGTCTTGCTGAAGTGACTTGAACCAAAAAAAACTTATTTTACTTATTCAACAAAGCCACTTGTTTGAAACCGATAAAATAACGAAGCAACTAGTATCAGAGGTTTTACTTGGGCGGGACAAAAAAGTTTAAAACATGTAATGTGAATGAATTAGAATATAAATATACTGAAGAAAAAAACATAGGAAAAATAAAATATGGCGAATAAGATGCAATGAATATTTAAACAAAACAGAAGAGTTTGGGAGAAATTTGGAGTAATGTGACTGAACAAAATATATTTGGAGATTAAAGCAAACTAAAACGAGATATAAATATTTGTGAAAAGAATAAGTCACAAGTCATGAACCTACCGACCAACATAACGTGGTTTTGCCAACTGCCTTCACCGAGGAATAATATGCTCTACATTTCTGCATGTAATAATGGATGTTATTGAGACTATGAACAAAAGTACGTAGGTCTATTATCGTAACACTTGCCTGTAAAGATAGAAAAACCATGAAATCCCTCAATCAAGATAAGTTCCAGATTTGATCATGGCACCCGATTTATTCTTCTGGAAGAGATGTTTTGTAAGGACGATGAGGAATTTATATGAATTCCAGTAAATACCTAAAAGGATAAAATGACAAAACATATATAATTACTAATTTATTGCTGTATTCAACTTATTAAGAGATGGAGATATTGACAAGATATATTAAAGACATCGCTAATGGAAATGAAAGCATATTTAAAAAAGGTCACAATTTTAACTGGTCCTGTCTTAGCTACAGGTTTGAAAATAGCAGCCAGTATAATTTGGCGAGGAAGTGTTCAGAATATATTCAGAATATATAGAAAGTTTTATACAGCAAATTATAATATTCACACTTCCATTTGTAAAGATTCAGCACTGCCAACTACGGCCCAAAGTTAAATGGAGCGACAGTTTAATTACTGTATTTCCGCTTGTTGAACAGGTATATTTAAACTTCGCTTAATATGGGACAATTTGTGGCAGTAAACAATTCCGTCTACTTTACCAATACATCTGATAAAAGTATACATAAATATGAGTAGAATATTATAATTGATAAATAATTTCACACCCACACCGCCATTATGTGAGCTTCACTTTCATTTATATCAATATACACTTGAAAATTCTAAAAAGTAATTAGAGATCCAGTTATACAGAATCTTTGTAATTCATACTGATGCGCATTCAGTTAACACCAACTCCGAACCACGTGCACAACGAATGGCTAAGGCGCTACACCGTGACTCGTACTCAAGTTTGCCAGAACTTGCTGACCAATTAAATATGTTCAATAACGTTGTTTTATTGGACTAAGTGCGTTGTTCAGTTTACCGAAATAAAGTCGCAAGACTGAAATTATCCCCTTCTAGTGGACCCAACAGGTTCTATCGCCTGAAGACGGGCAGAGCCGGCCCCTGAAATGTCGTCGCCTCATTTTAGTATTCGAACGATGGATTTAGTCCAAAAAACAACAATATAGAATGTAATTCGTCATTAAAACCCTTCGGAGTTACATTTAATTACAGTTCCCAGCACGCTACATTTTTTTTAAAAATATGAAACATACTGTTAATATCATATTGACATGACAAATTTTCAAGATGATAGATAATCTGATTAGGGAGACAACTTTATAACTGGACTTCCAAGTGCTTTTGTAATACTGTATTTATTACTGTTTACTACTTAAGAGAGTACAGAATATAATAATTTATAATCCTATCAGTCTATATGAGTACTGAGAAATGAGCAACTGCTAGTCACCTGTTTAATAAAAGACAATTGCTTTTGGGGAAGTCAGAAATGCATACATTTCAGTCAAAAAACCTGAGGGAAGAGAACATTTGAGAGACCTAGGCACAGATGGAAGGATAATAATAATAATAAAAAACTGATTTGAAAGAAATAGGGCATGAGGGTGTGAAATGGATTCAACAGGGTTGGCTGGTGGGATTTTGTGAACATGATAATGAACATTTATATTTATTAAAGGAAGGGAGTTTGATTATCTGAGCGCCAATCAACTTCAAAATAACTCTGTTCCACGGGGTTAATTCATTTGGTTGTATTATAAAGTATCGTGCACAGCAGTTTTTTTAAGACATATTCCCCCCCTGGTTCCACGGTTTCCTTCGCATATTCTCTTTGGTTTACCTTTTACCTATCTTCCTCCTCTCTACTGGCACCCAATTACGTACTTTGGCTGTGCACTTTCTCCCATCGTCAGCGAGTATCCGTCTCTTTTACGCACCAGAACTGATTAGATAAAAATTGTTAGCCAGCTAGTTAAGGTTTAAGCTTGCCGTGAGCACCAGGCTGGTTGCAGCTGATTAATGATGCATTTCATGCGATCAGTTTTGCCGTCGCAATGTGTGGAGTACCGATGAACCACGGCAGTAAGACTTTTTATTTTTTCAAAACATTATCGAGTCTAACATGGCTAATAAATGAACATGACTGCTCTGCCCCTGTAAAGGTAATTATGAATGATGAATTAGGACAGAAGTGGGAAGAAGCTGTAGAGGGCCTCTCACCCCAGAATTTGATTCAGAACTTGTGTATAACAATACAAATAAAAACGTGGCTTCATTAACTAACTCCATGGAGCAGAGTTCTTCCTGAAAAGCTAAGACTATATACAGCAGCCCATAGAGCAATTTGAAATTTTTTCATTATATGATATGGAGTAATATGGTTTCGATGTCATAAATTCCGTGTGTCGGATATTGAAACTCGATGGGTATTTACGATAATAATCATTTTACGAAATCCAAATATACAATGTAATAAAAAAGGAGGAAGAACAGGAAATGGAAATAAAACAGAGGTAAGGAAAGGAGAGAGAGAGAGAGATTAAAATAAAAAATAAATCATTCCACAACAGAATTACTACTAGTTGCGTCAAATAAAAATTCTCCTGCAAATGAAACACCGTATTAAAAATTTAATTTATAGTTGACATGCTGATACTCTATTCTCTTGCACCCAAATGTGGACAATTATCTTAAAATACCTGCTGTTAACCTCTCCAATTTTACGTAATACTATTTATTATTGTTACATACACCTTAATCATTCTGCGATTACTCTAACGAAACTTCTACCTATACTTTAATATAACATCATTTGCGTAGGCAAATTTAATGACTACCACCACAAGAAAATACCACCCATCACCATTTACGGTACAGTGTCTCTCAGATCTCTCTCAAAAAAATAAAAAATAAAAAAAAATGCTACAGTCCACTACAAGATATTTATCCACTTATATCATTCATCCATTCAACCTTTCATTATAAGATACTATCACAAGTGTCAGGGATCAGATTGAGCAGATGAGCACAGATGCTAATATATTCTATATATATCATATATACAGTTCACATAGTAGTAGGAAGTTTTTAAAAAAGTTTTCAAGGCAGTTAGATGGAGATTCATTTGAAAATAACTAATATCTGGTAAATTATAATATGACAACACTACATTACATTTATATAACATCTCGCAGTAGAGTTATTTTCTTATTTTTATGTAAGGATTCATGTAAATTTACATCTATAGTAATTACTTGTAATGATCATATACTTACAAGGCATTAAAAATGTGAGTACGTAATAACAAGCAATGATAAAAATAATAACTTCACATAAATTAAGTCGTTAACATATTGCAGATTAATTAAATCTTCCGTCAATTGCTTTTCTCGTGCTTCCGTCTCCACTTTAATCCCAACACTTCTTTCCACCTGACTGAGCCCGATACATTAGAACAGTGTAATTCAACCGGAGGTACGTGAAATTTTTTTAAAAAAATTATTTTATGATAAAAAGTGAATAATCAGGCCAGGTTTAGGGTTAGCCACAGGAGAACCGGACGTAAGGACATTCGACTTGGGAGCACCAATTTTTTCTCTCCCTCTCCTTTATGTAATTCTTATCTGGGCTGCAGAAACAAGCTCAATCATCTCATTAACAGGTCTGAACAACATTAATTAATAATTTATAAAATATTTAAACATATAATTTTGCTTTGCTAAAATACCTTTGTTCCTCTATTAATTTTTATATGATAGGCAATAATATATGTTATTTAATAGCTTGATTATCATTTTTCTCATTTAAAACTTATTATTTAATACATTATTTTGGATGTAATTTATTTAATTTATTTTAGATGTAGATTATATACTATGTATAACTTGAATTATACACCAACAAATTTGGGGGTACAAAGTTGAAGAGAAATTATATCTGGGGGTACGCGAACAAAAAAGGTCGAATACCACTGCATTAGAAAATCATTGTAACCTAACCTTTAAACTTGTTTACGCTACCGAGTGCATCCAGATCGAACAATCTGCAATAAGTTATCGACTATATACAGTATTGGCAATATGTGGTTTCAAAGAAACTACTCGGCACATGGGTCAAACCCATACCTAACTCAAATAGCGAGTAAAGACGTATACATTATGACGATCCCGAAAAAAACAGAAATAAGAAATAATCATAAATAAGTTCGTGGAAAAATTCTCCTACGTAATTCTCAAAGGAAGCGAGTGCAAGGCCATTAGTTTTTTTTGTTTAGAACAAGACAATCAATTCTAATAGTATCCAACTACTACATTCATATTCAAAGGTAAAAATAGATAGTATTTATACTCTTTCAAGTTTAAAAGCGTTTGGTGTCATTATACATGTGAACATGAACATTCTCTTTATGGCAAGAGAATAGGGAAATTTAATGGGGCACATAATTTTTGCTCCATAATATTGACTCTAGTGTGAAGGAATGTATACTTATTTTTGTCATCACCTTTTGACAAAAATATACAATCTACCGACTATTTTTCTACAATTAAGGCGGTAAAAATCCACCAACTTCATATTCAACAAAAACTAACACTATAATCGTGAAAGATTACTGAATCGTGTGTTTACTAGGCATTCTAGAATATAAATACATTATATATCACTTCAGTTGGAAAATTAACTTACACTTTTTTTGTAAATTGAATAATATATATGTGATTAAAAGATTTTATGAAATACTTTTACAATCCTAATAACAAGGACCTGGCAAGCAAAATGAAGTATGTACGTACAGTATCGGAGTAGACGTGAGTGAGACGAACTGGGTAAAACTGCGGATCTGTTTACTCAAGGGGACAAAGAGTTTTCTCATTTAATAAAAACAAGTTTTACAATCATTTTTCATGATTCTTAAAAGAAAAAATTAGATTACTTTGTTAATACTGTAATATACTTTAAATAGTAATGTAAGAAGAAATTATACGCACAAAACACAGCCACAATTCAAGATTAGAAAGTTGGGTTATGTTAAATCAGGTCTTTGCGAGTGACAAGAGACTCAGAAATTTTTACCGAGCCAAATGTAAGAAAATATTTTTAATAACATAAGATAAAATTAATTTCTGAAGAACATAATCTGTAATGGAAGTATTTCGCAAACCAAAACAATTAACTTTTATAGAAAACGCTGGAACAATTAGGTCGTATAAATAATTCAAGACAATGATTTAAGACGGAAATAAAACATGTCCGACTTTATTTAACTTAAATATAAAACGTATACGCAAGTTAAACTATGTGGCATGTATCGAAGCTTAAATATTTTTTTTAATAAATTAGAACATCTGAATCTGCAAATTGTATATGATTCAAGAACTAAGTCGGGCTGCGTACGACATCCAACAAGGTAAGTCAGTCCCCCGTCCCCCCTCTCTTGACACCTGAAGACAAGGGCCCACACAAGACACTGGCTACTGGTACAAAATTCCGTATGAAAACTTCAATTTCTCCGTAACACTTCTCACGTCCACAGAAAAATTAACTAAACTACTCCTTTCACCAGGGGATGTGCGGAGATGCTACGCAAAATGAAAAGTATACCACTCACGTTATTGCTATCGCAAAACCTACGTTTGTCAAGTAAATGTGTCACACAGACTAAACAAGGGTCGCTAATTTCAAGTGCGATTACGTTACAACACACGTATCTATCTCGGTATTCCAAACATTCTCCATTGATCAATAAAACTAATACTGTTAATTACTGTACAATAACAAGGTTTACTGATTTTTACCTCGGCTAACTACTGTGTGACTTACAGCAATAATTTACTTCTAGAGTGTAATTATATTTGTTAATGAATTACATGTAACCATTCACAAAATTCATACTTATTTAGCTTTCGCTTGACATCCTGAGCTACGAATGTAACAAGCCAAATATTTCTTTCGCTGCAGAAAAAAATGTTTTCGTTAATATATATGTAGCTTTTTTTAATGACGATAACTTTATTCTTAATTTAAATATACTAATGTAATATGAAATTTTATTTTTATTCGGCTGATAAATTAAATTCATTTTTCTATGACAGAATCTGCCGACAGTAATGAATAAGTTTCTAGCCGAGTGAATGCATTTCTAACCTCTTCATCACGGAATGAAGGTACAATGGAAGCAGGAACTGGTAAGACAATGCAAAGGGTGCCTAGGGTGACCGCGTGTTCCTCGCGGTGCTGCACAGTGCTGAAAACCCCTGACACACCGGTTTCATATTAACGTAATTCTACGGTACATTTCTAGTCTATTAAAAGATGAAAATGAGGTGTTCATTTCTTGGAGTCAAAAATAGTACGATCAATCACGAATATAATTTTCCTTTCAATGTTAAATGTGACATTTACTAAATTGTAGAACACAAAGAAAATTCTTCATTCAGGAATAGAGAAATACGCGACGAATGGCAGGATAATAATTTCACAGACAACGATAAAAGATACAGAAAAAGGTATCTTTCTCGTTTAACATATTTATAAATTTAATAACAATGAAAATAGAAGCAATCTATGATTTAGATTATGATGGGTTTCAATATTCTAAAAATATCTATATCATTCAATTATGGCCACCCTCGACACGGCGAATTCCCAGATACTGTTTATCTCACCGAAGTACCAGCACAGAATGTTTTACTAACCCCTACAACGCAGGATGTGAGAATGCAAATTAAGTTACGTAAACATTGCCAGTTAGCGGTCTTTGCGTTGCTCTGTTTCCGAGCACCTTTCCGTATCACAGGAAGCCATATCCCGGTATGAGTTTCCTTTTAAGTCAGTCAGAACGAATTGATTAACATAAGAAGGATTCCGTCAACGTAATTCAAACGGTAAGAAACATTTAAATATACCTATGAGACCACACATATTATAACATTTCTTTCGAAATTACAAATTAAAATTACCAGTTCTGTAATTTACGAATATTTTGAAATTAATAAGTTAATTTTCTTTACCTTGTTCCCACAATTTTTTATGTTAAAGGAAAGAGGGGAATGGGGGATGAATTGGTCACATCTGCATTAAAATGTACTTACTTCATGTTATGTTTCAGACAAAAATATACTTTCTGACATTTTTTGGCCACAGTCGTGAACTTTCACTGAAACGTTACGAAACCTCTACATTCCGAATACGACTGTATTACAGCTGGAACATTTCGATGGCATATGAATGATAGAACAATCTAAGTACTGTAGCAATAATTCAGTAATATGCACAGCCTTACCCATATTTCATCACTCGCTCTCATAGCTCAATGTCGCTGCATTTCTACAGAGCAACCATGAACCATAAAAGCAGTCGAGCATTAAGCGACAAACTTACGCCCAACAACCGCAGTATCAAGAGACAGAATTCAGCGCTGAATATGTCGACATCTCAATTCATCTGTCTCTAATAACACATTATTGGTCCTTTATTTTATTTTTTTGTCAACAGTTCTTTCCTTTGTAAACGGGAAGAATAAATTGGTCCAATGTCGCTGACGAACAAGTTAAGCTCAGACAACAGTCTCTAAGTCTTCCGCCACCAACTGGAAGTGTTCCTGACCTGAAAGTCAGATTAAAACTATCAATGTAGAGTGTGAAGACTTCCTTTTATAAGTTTCAAAACATTAACATATCAAAGTAAAATTAAAAATGAGCTGGAATGAAATAGAGAATTTCATCCAACAAACGAATCTCATCAGCTGAAGACATACACGGAAAGGAATAGTGCAAGTGATACGATTTTATTAACATCGCTAAATTAACTTTTATTGTATGGGAACAGGGGATTTATCAGCTGGACTGCACGTGAGGTGTCAACAACATCTCCCTTTCTTTTTCAAGCTTCATAGTGGTCAGCCCAATGTACGTTGACATTCAGTTATGTTCTCCGAGTCCATAAATCCATAAATCTTTGTTGGCCAACCTTAATTTTTAATTGAAAAACAGCTTGTTAGATCATCACGTATCTCTGTATCCTGTCCTCATTTTTTTGAACAAAGACTGGTTTTCATGAATATGGCAGTCATATGGAATTTCACTTTCAATATTATAGTGATTAACTAATTACCCATTTCAGCTAGGAATATTAAACTGGTACAATGATAAAACTATAAACTTACCTACAAATTATGTATGAAATAACGTTTATATGTCAAGAGTTACGAACTTGGTGACAGACTGAATATTTGAGGTTAAACCTGACAAATTTAACATATGGAGAATCTTTACTTAAACAATAAATTCTTCCCAAAAAGGAAGATTACAAAAAAAAAAAATAATAATAATAATAATTTTGTATATAACAATTTCACTTGCAAGCAATTAAACTTACTGATGCCCCTAGAATCTGCTAACAAGCTGATGACATTAATTAATCACCTAAATTGCAATAATCTGTTGCTGGATTATAAATGTACATTACCTATATATAACATTAATAAGATGATTTATAGGACCTGAATTTTGAACAATATGTTAATATTATTTTAAAAAATTTGCACTATTATATAAATTTTAACCCTTGAACCGCAACTTACTCTCAAGATAGGCTGCCAATTCGTGGTCCTCAGCGCGTAGCGCAAGAAGGCGAGGTGTATCGCCCTGATAATCAGGAAGGGTAAGAGAGGCTCCGCCTGCCACTAACATGCAGCAAATGCTCCGCTGTTTGTGGGCTGCAGCCTTATGGAGTGCGGTCTGGCCCCTGAATAAACCCAAAAATTAATTTAAGAAGACTTCAATGCAAACACTTCAGACTACATAATTGAAGTTTTTACAAGACAAAAACATTGAAAATCCTATCCAAGGAAAACAGTTATGTGGCAAGTAACAACTATCCATTTACGATGTTCTTATGCAACAAAAAATATTCTGTTTATTATCAGAGACTTCAATGCTCTTGCAAGGATATAAGACGGAAGTGAAAACTATGGACTCGCTCGACAATCAAATTGCGATTCTTAAAGTATCTAAGGAGGGTAAGACCGAGGTAATCTAACATCTGGTTCTTGTACCATCTTGATTCACTGACTACTCCTTACTTTTCATTGTCTGCCATGTTGAGAATGGAAGCAGGGGCACAGGCAATTAGGTACTTGACAATATCTTTGTGTCCGCAGCGAGAACCGTAGTGAAGCGCCGTCTGGCCTGCCGCATCAATGGAAAGGAGCGAGAAACCCTGAGAATGCAGCTCCTTCAGCTAAAGACAATTAACATTATTTTATTCATAGTTTAAAACAGAAAACATAATATTATTTTATACCACTGTGGAGTTACTCTTGCTTCACATTCCTCGTTCCTGAATACCGAGTGCATGGAATAATGGAATAGGACCTCGGTTCTATTTTGTTGGTTTTCGGAAGCCCCGAGGTAATGATCGAAAGGGACAGACGGGGGCATTCGTATTACGACGTTAGAGGTGAAATTCTTGGATCGTCGTAAGATGGACAGAACAAAAGTTAGAGGTTCAAAGATGATCAGATACCGTTCTAACCAGGAACGGACTTCATCTTTACATAAATAAACAATTCCATAATTACTCCACAATGAGAATCACAATTCTAAATATAATTAAAAATATGTTATTAATTATGTTTGGTTTAGAAATCCATAAAAATTCTACAATAGGTATGATAAAGGAAATTCTTTTAATGCTAAATGAAAATGTCTTCTGTTCATGCATAGACCTCTAACATAAATTAAATATGATGATTCTGAAACATATAAACATTGATATATATTATCTTTATAATTCCACACTCACCATATTCAAATCACCTAACTTAGCAGCCTTGAGAATTCCATCTGTTGTCTTTTCCAAAAGATGGCTGAAATAAGAACATTTAATTTCTGCATACGTTAATATTAAATATCAAGATATATCATATGTAAAACTGAAACATTAACACCAACACAACAGTTAATCAATATAACGATTAATTAACAGAGCAAAACTGAATCTTAATCTTGTTTAAAAACTAATACAGTCTACGTTAAACGTATCTGAGTCTTGAGATACTCGTGGCAGTCTTCTGGGTTATGACAACGTTGTAAGTGGTTACCAATGTTTCAGAGGAAACTATCCCTCATTAGGATAGAAGCGAAAATGGTATTAAATTTCCCTCCAAATCACTGGCACCCACCTACAAAGAAAACATGGAGTCACTAGCTTCAAAATTACAATCAATCTGTTAATACATATATAACTTTTGGAGAGTTGATTAATATTAACAAGAAGCACACCTGACATGCTTACAAATAACGATTCTTTATCAAATATGCTTAAATTATTTCAATTTATTACGTCGTCAAATTAAAACTACCATGATTGGAGTTCAAGAGATGAGAGGTGAAACGGCTCAATCGGTACAGTAGCTACGCTACAGACTGGATGACCGCAATTTATTTCTTGGTAAGGCAGAACTTTTCTTTGTGATAACATTTGGATCATCTCTGTGCCCCACCCAGCCTTCTATCCAGCGGGTATCAGAGTTCTTCGGGTAACGAGACCAGGGCATGACGCTAACCACTCAGCCTGATCTAGTGCCAAGGTTATGAATATATGGATTTACACCTCCGTTACTCCATATATCTGCATGATGTGATTCTTAGTTAAGAACCAGTCCCATAGCCAAATGCTTTATGAAGGCAAAGCAGACACATGTATGTCATAGAATCAAAATGATATGTTCCCTCACTTTCAGATTAAAACACAGTAGCATCCCGATTATCCAACCTCAACAAGACCGAGGGACGAGAAATCTCAGATACTACGGAATACCAATGAAAAATAAATATCGACTCCACTGAATTGCAAATAAAATAGAATATGACATCAAATGAAAAAAATCTCACAGACTATAATAGTATGTAGCGTAAAATAAATTTTGTAAATGAAGGACTTCATTTTTTTCAAGAAATTGGTAATGGAGCTTCTGAACCTCCTTCATTTTCTTTGCAGTAACGTCATGCCAGCGTCTAAACACTAGTACATCTGTAGCAATCGAGCACATAAACTGTAGAAGGTGCGCTACATGCTGAGTTGACTGTAGACAAAATGGAGTGTTGGATAATTGGGACTCTGCCGTACTGTAAATTACCACAAAAATTCAGCATATGCAAAAAAGATATTACAAATAAAGCAACCAGGATTAGATTTCACACCAAACCACACGATTTTATGTATAAATGCACATCTTACTGGGGATACTGGGAACGACCGATTCTTCAAGTGCCTGAGCACTGCAGGTCCCAACTTTTCGCTGGCTCGATCTATAGACATTCGGTAGGACTCCTTGGACGAGGGATCGGCCCGTCGCAAGGCCTCTGCCTGTACACAGGACAGACATCCATGGCTTGAGTGGGATTCGAACCCACGGTCCCAGCGACCGAGCGGCACAAGCCCCACGCCTCGTATCAACTGAATACGAGGCTGCCAAATATGAACTGTATGTGTTAGCCGTGAGCCATAAAGATTATTAAGCGAACATTAAAATAATAAGCAGTTACCCGCAACATTATTTAAAGAGGTAATCGCTTGAATTCCTAATGAAATGTATCACGACTCAGCTCCTTAACATCTGATAAATCATGTATCAAGTTTGTACACTCACCAATAAGAAAAACAATCTAATCCGAATAACCTTTCGTAGGCGCTGGCATGCAAATGACAATAACACAAATTAATTTATTCCACCACAAACAATCATGCATTTCTTAACATGCGTTACGCACAGCAGGGCTGTAGTCTAGCCGGGATTATGTCCCGGCATTCTTCCGAGTGCTGGGACACCATCTCGTAATGTCTTTTAAAGAAGGTGGTGTCAAAAATAGGCATCACAGCCTAAGGGCAAGGGTAGTAGGGAACCTCCCTTAAAATATAAATGTAGAGAGTATGCCCGTCTAGAAACTAAGAAAAGTTTTATTGCATAAAAGTCAGACAGCGGATGAAACTATTGCTCTCGCATTAAGATTTCTCAACAAAAATAATTTATTTCTTTTTTGGGTTGTTTACCGTTTAAATCTGCACTTAAAAGTGATGAACCATCATTACGATTGATGCTCATTTCTTTCGATTTGGCGCTGCACGACAGAAGGCTACGCCTTCCGCCCGAAGCAACGGACAGAATTTCATACGTGCATATGCGACAAATGTTAGTACAAAAGCAATGCTAGTGCGTAAAACAGCGTAAGTGAAGCGACATTTTAAATCAACTGCAGCGTTTGTTATATGGCAGTGAACCACAGACATACATGAGGTAATATCATGCTTCCGTCATTTCCTCTTGCTAAATCATACTAAGAAATACTCCTGTCAGAGGTTCGACACTGAAAACAGAAACTAGGTAACATAAGAAGAAACAGTAAATGATAGGTAAGATTTGAGTTTTTCACAGTGGTGAGTATGAAGACAGAAATCTTCAATAAATGATAGGTAAGAAAAAAGAAGTGATTTGGTATAAAAGGAATTCAGGGATCATTTCAAATGCCATAAGCAATGGTTCAATTAAATTGTATAGTCTTATAATACACAATTTTTTGCATACAGACCCTGCCGTCGGTAAAATATTTAACAGACGGAAACTGAAGAATGAAGTTACTCAATCCTTTTACATATATAAATATCCCAAATATTTAAAACTGGTATTTACAAGCTGTTTTGTATTTGCTTCCACCTTGAAAACTTAAAACTACATGTATATGCATGAGACGTGTAGTAAATCTGCAATATTTCGATATCTGAAAGAATATATTTTTTTAAAAAACTGAACTCTCATATTTCAAACTTTGTCTTCACAGAACCAACAAGGCTATATAAATGGTACTAAATATTTTAGTCTATCCCCTGCACCTGATGATAAATAGTCTTATTTTTGGTTAATACCTAATTTTTGGCTGATTACTAATTTTTGGTTGATTCCTAATATTTGGCTGATTACTAATTTTTTTGTTGATTCCTAATTTTTGGCTGATTACTAATTTTTTGTTGATTCCTAATTTTTGGCTGTTACTAATTTTTGGTTGATTCCTAATTTTGGTTGATTCATTTTTTAATGATATGTATAGCCACAACCACGCAGCTCCATAATATCAATACTGCTGGTATCTTTTGTGCAAAAGCAAAATTTATTTTCTTGTAAGTAAACTAAAAAGGGCATCAAATCCTCAAAGATTTGTGCAGCTAATTAAGTGAATACAATGAACTCCAAATATCCGTGTACACTTCCATGAAATTTTCACACGATATAATACAAACACTTTCATGTCGCAACCTGACTAACGTAAAGATAAATGCTTTAATGATTTAAATTATGCAATCCGTAATGTGTTGTAAGACAGTAATAATAAACATCCCTTTCGCGAACAATACGACCACGGTCAATTCGTCTCCATTATAATATTTCTGAAATGGGACGGCAGTAAAAATTGTATTCATCTTCTGATTCCTTGTTTAGTTGCGAAACGTGATACAGAGACTGGCAAGTCACTGACTTTCTCTTACTACTTTCTTTCATTACCATCATAATCTAACTAATTATACACGAATAATGAAACTTAATTAAACATCGATAATTGGTTTTCTACATATACTGGGCACATTATACAATGGGTAAAATCAAATCTGTCCAATACCAAGAAGATGTAGGTGGAAGGTAAGTGACAAATGTCACGTGAAAAGTATGAAGCTACATGCGATATATAAAATTATAACGGAATGACGCGAATACGCCGCGCTACTGAAGAATAAGCCTTGCCTATTTAAACACTCATAAATAGCTGCTAAAGCATGTTCCAGAAAGGACTTCTCTCTTTAATTCTCGATTGTGCTGAATTTTTTTTTTTAAAAGAAAAACCACTTTTCCAGGTCTCATCAGTACCAATACGTCACCTAGCTCAGTGGTCCCGAACGCAGTGCCAAGTCTTCTTTGGGTGCCCGCGTTGTTACGGAAAGAGGTTATACTGAATAATGAAGGCCGTTCAACCACGAACATTATAAAATCAAAGCGCGGATCTCGACT